GTGTGGGTTCTTTAAGGACATTCTAGTCTTCTTATAAGCGCGCATGGAGTACATTGATCCTGATTAGAGAAAATGGTTCACTTCATATGAAAAAAAAAGTTAATTAATTAATGAAAAAATAGGAAGGAATGGTTCCGGAGAAGCCATTCGGTTCTGGACCTCTCCGTAGCCCTGCGTGGAAAAATTAATAGTTTTTGAGTTCGAGCATCAAAAAAAGGAAAGGTTCTTTATCATAAATGCAAATTGTGATTTTGAGTTCTTTTCTTAAAACACAAATTTAAACGCGATTTTCGGAATGTAAATTGGATCTGTTTCCGTCGTCAATATGGTTAAAGCTACGTCGTAATTTGGTGTTTAATTTTGCTAGCAAGAAATTAAAAAAAAACAGATTTTCAAGTCAATTTTCAGAAAAAAGAGCAGAAATTTTTAGTAAGTATAGGTACGTCACCGTAAATTTTATTTTACAGGCTAGCCGTGTGTCAAAATTAGCAAAGAAAGTTCAAGATTGTATTTGAAGGAACCCCCTTAATATGCAAACCCGTTGCATTCTCAATAAGAAACTGAAGAGAATGGAGAAGGCGAAGCTAACCCGTTGGTTAATCAATGTTCCAAGTTCCTTTTATTAGGTTAAGGGTATGGTATCTTTAAAGGTAGGTACATAAGTATGGCTAACAGTTTTTAAAACTTTCAAAGGCATACAAGGGCCTGTAAAAAACCCTTATAAGCTTCCCTGTGCCTAGACAGGTTTCAAGAATTTACCGGGAGTTTGAAAGCCTTTAATAATTTAACCTAGAGCTTTCAATTGTATCACTGAATATGCTTTAAAATTTAGGTCCTTAGGAATCGAATTGTTCAAGTTTTTTTAATTAACCTCTTGAGTGTCTTTTAGACTTGCTAAAGTAACCAAAGGCCTGTAAGACATTCGGTAGACATTTATGGCCGTTTGCACCGAAAATTTTAAGTGGAACTTAGCTTAAAATCCACGGCAACGATTATTGAGATAATGGTTGCTATGGATTTTAGGCTACGCTTAAGCTAAGTTTTGCTTAAATTTGTCGGTGCAAACGGCCATTACTCTTAGAGCCTCCTGCATTAGTCTTTAACAGCCTGGCCCTCGAAAGTTTTTACGCGTTCTTTTAAGGGGTAATTTATAATAATATTTGGATCGCTCAAACAGTTTAAGGGTTTTTAACGCTTTTAAGTCTCTTTTAATATCCTTTTAAGGACATTTCATAGTCGTTCACCTTCTATTATACCTAGTGGAGATAAAAAAGAAAGAAATGGAGTGGGATTTATGGTTAATAAGAAGGTACAGTCAAGCGTTATGAAAGTAATAAACGACTGTGATAGAATCATAGCAATGAAAGTAGATGCATTACCCACAACAATACTAGCCAGTGGTCATCATGAAGAAATAGAAAAATTGGAGGAGGAGGTTACGAGAGTGGCTGGAAAATGCGTACTCGGAGAAAGGAATGAAAGAGGAAATAAGCTGATTGAGTTTTGCAAAATAAAAATTATTGTAATAAACACATTGGTTTGAGAACAATAAAAAAAGGGTGGTTACAAGGGTTAGTTTTCCGATTGCTGCTCAGAGTCAGTAAGCAGGGGAAACAAGTGCAATTTTTTGGTGTAGACCAAAAATTCAGGTTCAAATTAATTCACGTTAATACAAATTCGCGTCAATTAATGTTCATTAACGTTAATTCAGGATAATTCAAATTAATTCACTTTAATTCAATTAATTCTCGTTAATTCAAATTAATTCAGAAGGGTGTACACCAAAAATTCAAAGTGTTTCCCCCGGATGTCAAGAACTTTAACGTTTGGTTAAGTCAGTGTTGGGATTTTTCGGTGTGCCGGAACCCAGTTGAACCCTAAGATTAAGATTTTTCTTTAGTTAAAGAAATAAAATTTGTAAGGTTTGATATAAGGTTTAATTTTTGTACAGTTGAACTAGCTAGGTAAGGGGTAAGGCACACAACAGTTAATTTTTGTAGGCCCAACGGGGGGGAACAGCATTTATTTTTGTGTGTGTCCGAAACTAAGAGACATAGCAATATTCACACATTCTTTTCGCTGCAGATTTAGAGATACGACTTAAAAGAGTAAGGAAAGATGTGCTAGTAGAAAATGGAATTTGGAAAATTATTGGACAAGGACGAAATAGGATGTAAAATGGAAAGAGAAAGCGGAACACCAAAAACGGAAGAAAGTGTGGGGTTTTAGCAAGGGGCCAAGAATAAAGAAACCTTAGATAACAACAAAAATGATAAATTAGATGGAGGAAAGAAGGAAAGCTAAACATTTATCTTTAAGGACAGATAAAGGAAAAATATTGTACAAAAAACCTAACATTGAACTAAGAGAAGAAATGTATAAGGGAAGAACATGGTTTGAAAAGGTATGTAGGGAAATCGAAGAACTAGAGAATTAATTGATATACAATAAAGTAAAAAAATACGCTAGATAGGAAGAATGGAGGAACTATGTCAGTATAGAAATAGAAAATATCAGGATGGCAAGTTGTCGACAGAAGAAAGCGAAGTATTGGAAAGATGGAAAGCATATCTGTAGGAATTATATCAAGCAAAGAACAAACCAACACAGATGACAGTGGAAAGCGTAGAGAAAGTGGAGAATAACAATATCGGGGAAGGCATTCTATCAACGGAAGTAAAGGTAGCCATAAAAGAAATGAAGGATGGGAAGGCGGAAGGAGTCAATAGTATCCCCTTAGATTTATTGCAAGTGGGGAGAAACTGTTGGAAATACTAAAGAGGAATGGTGTCAACTGGAGAGAAAGGCGAGCAATAGGAAACAAAAAGCAAAAATCAGGGTTGGCTGTAAAAAGGCGGATTGGTTTAATACCGGAAGAGGAATCGGAGAGGGATGCTGTTTATCACCAACTCTGTTTAATTTATATGTAAAAGACATGGCGGAAATATGTTGGAATTGGGGAAAATATGGTATGAACATCGCAGGGAAAAGGATTTGGGGATGACATGATTGAATTTGCCTATGATTTTTTTAAGATTTTTTAAAGAGCAATTAATCTGCTGTACAACATAAAATATGCATATGGCTGATATACAAACAAATGAAGAAATTCGTGATTCAATATTTAGAAAACAAATGAAATCTAGTATGCCTTGTACTGAAGGATGCGCGGTGCCTGTTGTGTTATATGGGTAGATCGTATCACAAAAATAAGTCACACAACGGAACATTGAATAAGTTGATATAGGTCTCTAAGATGCGAGCGACTTCCGGTATAGAACCGTGTCAAAGTTGAAAAGTCAACGTTTCGCCCACTTTCGCAAGGGACCTCATCAGGTCAAGAAACCAAAAAAACAATCCAACAAAAATAAATTATATAAAACTCTTTTCCCTATAATAATGATGAACCGTTTTCAATATACAAGTAGAAAACTCAAAAATGGTATCTTCTCTTCCACGCCCAACCCTCGGTTCGCTACCTAGGCATCACATACCTAACCTAAGTAATCTGAACAAGTTTCTAATGGAGTCGCTTAGCTCTCTGCTCACGCACTCTACACCCTCTCATCAACCGTTCATTGACTGGACTAATTTAAACTATTTAAAACCAAGTTTCCTTAAACTGTTAGTACCCATTTAATCCTGGGCAAATTCCTCGGAAAAAGTAACAATTCCTTTTTGGGTTATACTTGAATTACAAGTCGAATACGTTGATGTGAGAATTGCTTTAATATTTTAATTAAGTGCATTAAGCCTTGAAGATGGGACTAAATATAGGTACATGGTTTCCTCCTTTAGTCCTTTAGACTTTCATAATGGAGCAACCAAATTAACAGTTACTAGGTACAAAAACGACATATAAAAATCACTTTTTCGACACCATCAAGTAAATTAATGCACTTATAATACCTTAAACTCACTGTTAATTGTTCAATTTCGCATAGGATCGGAGCCTATTTTCTAACACGTTTATAGCTGCACCCCCAATACGTACGTACCATCATCACTCGTGTAACACTACTGACAAAATTGTACCTAATAATATTAAAATCAAACTTTCCAGAAATGATTCAACACGATATGACGTATTCGTACAGATGATTTATTACCTGAATTTCAACAATAGAGCGTTATCAGAATCTATTTTACTAAATGATATAGGTACTTTTATTGTAGAATTCTCTACTGCCATTCGTTTACTGTAATTAAAAAAGTCGTTTGATTTGCATTAGGGAACGTTTTAGTCATATTATCAACCCTTTGCGATGAAGGTGCAAATTTTAGTCAAAATTTTGGTAAAAAGTAGCCACACAAAGCGCTATTGCATTTGGGGATTTTTTTCAACGAAATGTTGGTTTATATGCAAGAATTGTCGGATTTTATGTTTTCAGAAGAACACTGCGTTGGCTAAGGCTGTAGTATATAGTGAATTTTTCTTAAGGGATTTAGTTCTATTTTGACAAAAATAAAAGGGATTTCGCTATGTCAAAAAAACGCTGGCGAAGGTAATTGTGTCAATGGATTTTTTCAAAAAGATGTAGGTAGTTATTTTTAACTAAGAATTATGAAATTTTAAGGTTTCAAAGCTTATTCGCTTTATCAATAGAACACCGCTGAAAGCTGTTGCTTTTATGAAATTTTTTCGAAGTTGTCTTTAAGCGGAAATTTTTGAATTTTAGGTTTTCAAAGCGAAGTCGCTATATCAAACGATATTATGGTGAAATTTTTCAAAGGCGCGTAGTTATCTTTAGGCAAGGTTTGGCGATTTTTAGGATTTAGAGGAATTGCTGGCCAAGGGTGTCGCACGTAGGGGATTTTTGCAAAGGCATGTAGTTGTCTTTAGTTAAGTGTTCCAAAGCGAAATCGCTACATCAGACGGCTAAACCAATCGTATTTAGCGAATTTTTTCGAAAGAACATTTTTTGCCCCCTGTCGCGTGGTTCTGTCACCAAAATGTAACCCTCGTTAGGAACTTGCATATATACGGGATGAATAAAAAATGACTGTCATCTTTTCTTTATTTTGTTCCTAATCCCTAATCATTTCAAACAGTTATGTATAAATTGAACTAGGTATGAGTTCCCCCAGATAAAGTCAGACGATAGAAAAAGGCACAGATACATGTATGCGTTAATACATGCTTTCCCATCTTAAAATTACTATTTAACAATATGTATATGTCTATGTCAGGTATCTATATTAATTTACATTGGAGAGCATTAGTTTATATAAAAAAAATAACATTAAAGTTAGCGACTAGATGGAGCAAGTCTACACAACGGTAGCGGAATGTCAGGTGGACGTCCTCTTCTTACCACACGAATGGTAAATGCCTTAAAGTGCTGGTCTTTGAGAATCAAATACGCACTCGTACAGGGTCTTCTATAGATCGTCACCTTTTTTTTTGTCATCGAACACCAGAACACCCTGTAGATAGTGCGAAAAATAACGACGCAAGGGGTTATCGGACAAATTACGTATGTCTAGAAATGTTGGACGTCATTAATGGCCTTATAACAGTGCAAAATGAAACAATCAGCAATACACGCAAAATGAATGCCTTTCGCCAGCAAATCTGTCGCCATCAGCGAACATGCGGTATTGCTGATTGATTTACTTACTGTGCAAAATATTCGGACTGCTGCTTAGTGCCGGTGGATGTAGGTATGTATTAATCATCTAGTCAATCACATTTTTTTTACCTTATCTCTAAATTATACTAAAATTTGCTATAATACACCGATCACATCCTGTAGTCGCACAATGCGTCTTAAAATCTCGATTCGTCACCGTCACTAAGAATAACCTCATACTAGGGTTTGAGCCGTTTAAAACCAACGCCATCTTGACCGAGCTTCAATTCTTCGTAGAGAGTTGGATTGACTTCTTGCGAGAGAGGCACGTGTAACGGTTCCTGCTTCCAACCCTGGCCGCCTGAAGAGGAGGAGACCGCGATGCCATTCGCCGTTCCGTTCGACATCGAGCTTTCCGATTGTCCCTGCGGTACCTAATCGAAAAATTTGACCTGGTTCTCACCTTAAATATTTACCTGTATGTGGTCCATGTTCACCTCACGGAGGTAGCTCGGGTTTTCAAATGCCACCCCTCCGGAATTCTTACCTACCAGTAACCTTTTGGTGCGTACAAACCAAACGGCTGCGGCGACAATTGCGGCGACTACAATCAGCGCGGAGACGACTGCCACAGCGACTCCGGTATGGGAGACGTTTTCGTCTTGGCTGGCAGCTAGCGTTATGTATTTGTCGCCGGCGGTGAACTTGATCGCGTCGCTCAAGGTCGAGGTTCCTCTGTGGTTGCCCGCCTTTATCACGCACTCGTAAACGGCACCCTCCAATAGTCCGCTGATCTTGTAGTGCGTTTCGGGGGTGTCGAAGCGTTGCGTGGGATTGCTGTCGGCGTGTACCAATTTCCAAAAGATCCTGTACATCTCAACGGTGTGTGGGTTTTTAACTGGGGGATCCCAGAGGACGTTTACCGAGTGGGCGTCCACGGGCTCGACGCGAATATTCTGAGGTGGTCCCGGTAGTTTGTCGCGGCCTTCGTGGAAGCAGCTCATTATTTGCTTGGTGTAGCTAAGCACGCACAGTTTGTTGTTGAAGAGAGGTTCGCCTCGGCACCAATCCAGGCACCTCTTCGGCACCCCCCACTGCGAACAGCAACTGCGATGATCGGAACCATCAGCCGCGCACTTCATCAGCTTGTCAAAGTCGTTGATGCACTCCGGCTTGTCGATCACCGAGTCGATGTCCAAATAGAAACTGCAGGCCACCATGCAGGGCGACGTGACGTTCTGCTCAATGCAACACTGGGTCACATTGTTCGAGGTCGCCACATTTCGAACGCGCAAAGTCACCGCTTGCGTTGCGACCCCGAACGCATTCTCCGCGTGGCAATAATAGTCACCGACATCGACCTCAGCAACCTGCTTAATCGACAACGTCATCGAGTACCGATCCTCCTCGTCGCGCACTCGATCAACCGCGATATCGTACTTCCCCCCTTGAATGACGGGCGTTCGATCTTCGCGACTTTTCCAAAACAACATCTTCGGCTCGGGATGAGCGTCAACTTTGCATTCGAGCTTAACCGTGTCGCCGAGCGCCGCTATCGTCACGCCTGTGGCTTGGATATGCGGTCCATCTGCACACAGTGAAATTATTTTTAAGTCCAAAAGTGTTTCCCTAGGTCCAAACGAACCCCCAGCTAATTTAGATAGAACCCCCCACCTAGTGCAACAAAGACACTTACGGCTGATTATGATCTTTCTCGACGCCTGCATCGGCGTGCCGTACCCGTTGTCGGCGTAACACGAAATCTGGTCCATATCCCTCGTCACGTTGTTTATGACCGTGACCATATGGCGCGTGATCTCCTGCCGTACCAGTCGACCGGTGATGTACAACGAAATCGTGGGCATAGGCGTGCCCATTGCTATGCAAAGGATCGTCATACTGCTACCCTCCATCACCAAATTTATCGGATGCACGGTCGGGGGCTGCGAAACATCAGCAAAATTGAAGGTGTTCAGCTCACGGACTACTCACCTCCACAAATGCGGGGTAGGCGGGATCCGTCCACGCGATCAACGTCTCCGAGGGCGTACTTTGCCCCTTGTCGGATATCGCGGTGACGTATACGATATACTGGGTGTTCGGGTTGAGCTTCTGTATCGTATGCGATGTGACCGAGATGTTCGTGATCTGGTAGTGATCGTCCGCTGTCGATTTGTGGTAAAGTCGGTAGGTGATCTGCTGGGACGGAAGGCTGAAAGCGGGAGGTTGCCACGTTATCGTCACCCAAGTCGCACTGTGGCTCGCTATCGCCAGCGAATGTGGGGGAGATGTCACCCCGCTGACACGTTCGCCATCTGAAGGACATGGTAACTTAATGGCTTACTGTGACGAAGTTTTCGGTACCTGATTTGGCCACCTGAAGTGTAAGTATCGACGAAGGTAGAGATGTGCCGTGCTGGTTTCGGGATACAACGAACAGTTGGTAGAAGGCGCTCTTTTCCAAATTTTTTAAAGTGTAAGATGTATCACTCACGTTTACTTGCTATAAATAAAGTGTTAATGGCAGTTGGAAGGCGGAGACAACTTACATTGTCTAGTTTCAGTATGGTTTCGTGCATTGATGTATTTTCAACCTTTTGGTAGTAGAGAACGTAATCGGTTACATTACTGCCATCGTCGGGGGATTCCCATTCGAGCGAGATACTATCGTCGGTTGTCAGCGTTGCGTGCAGTTCTGCGATTGGTCCCGGCAGTAATCCTGTACCTAAATACATTGATATCTTAAGATTTATATTCCATACATAGTGGACACCCTGTATATTAACGTCCTGTGAAAATTTACTTAAGAATCTATTTCTGCCTTTAAGACATCGTAATTATAGCTGATGATCCCACTATACACTTAGGTACAAAATTTCCATGCCCAAACCCTCATCGGCCATGGGTTGTCTTGGTCGCAAACGATCATTCAACCCAATGGGTCAAGCTCGCCGGCCGTCCAAACTACATTGCCTCTAGAGCCTTCGCGTGAAAAAATGACGCTGGCCGTCCGGAAACAGACATTTTCCCGCAACCCAAAAAATGTCAAAATTGTAACGATTCGACCATACCAAATAGAGTCATTAAAGTCTAATGTAAAATAAAGCATGTGTGTTGCGGAAGGGAATAATATTATAAAGATAAAATGGATTACCTGTTTCTTATTCTTTTCTTCACGAGTGCGGAGTGAATCGCGACCGACCGGTATTATCGTTTTTATTTTTAATGGCACCTACTTTTAGCTGTCACCAAAACGCATCTCTCCCCCTACTTGGTCTTTTCCACTTTCGCCTCATTCACTTTTAGGAACCAAACAGGCAGGAATAAGAGATGGGAGAATTAGCGGAAAATAGGAATATAAAATGTTGCTCAAAATAGAGCTAAAAATTAATGAAAACGAAACATTCCGCCCGCTTAAAATGAAAGGTTCATTTTAACAAATTTTAATAAAGTAAAAAAAATGTTTAAATTTCGCCATCAAAATAAAAAAAATTCTATCTTACACAATTTATAAGAACTTCATGAGTAACTTAAATTTAATTTAAAGGTAAAGCGCACACTTTACTAACAGGTCGTTGAATAAGACCTTTTGTTAGTGCGTAAGGTAACAACCCTTACAACACCGTCTTTACCGGGATGCACTTGAGCAACTCGCCCCATGCTCCATTTTAGAGGAGGCAAATCGTTACCTTTAATTAAAACTAGAGTGTTCAACTCAATGTTTACAGTTTTATCAGTCCAACGACTTCTTTGTAATTAACGTCTGGAGGTACTAGTTACTGTAACGCTTCCAGAAAGTTTGATGTACCTGTATGTTGTAATAACCGCCAACGCGAAAGCCTATTAATTTTATGGTCGCCCAAATCAGGCTCCGGAAAAGAGTTCAAGGGCTCTAAAGTCAAAAAATGGCCGGGTGTCAACACGTTAAGGTCATTGGGATCTGAACTCTGAGGGTGAAGGGGCCTAGAGTTTAGAACGCCCTCTATTTGAACCAGAACGGTATTGAATTCTTCGTAAGTGAGAATTTGGAATCCAATTACCTTATGGAGATGGGTTTTTCCGCAGCGAACACCGCTTTCCCAAATTCCGCCAAAATTTGGCGCTCCAGCGGGATGAAAATGGCAATTTATTTTGTGACAATCTGCTGCTACATGCACGTATTTATTTATTTCCTTCCAAGCACCGCAAAAATTAGTGCCACAATCGCTATAAATATCATTTACGCGCCCGCGTCTCGCGATGAAACGACGTAAACAAGCGAGGAAAGTTTCACTGGTTAGATCAGAAGCTAGCTCAATATGTAAAGCTTTGGTCGCCATACAAACGAACAAGCACACGTATACCTTTAGGACCTTAGCTCCTCGAGTAGTTTGTAGTTATGGAAAATCGGCCGGCATAATCCACACCTACAGAAGCAAATGCTTTAACACTTGAGAGCCTAGCAGAAGGTAATTGACCCATGATGGGTTGAATAGAGGAGGGATTAACTCTAAAACAATTATAGCACTTAGAAATAACCCTCCGTATAGTGCGTTCAAAGGAGATAATCCAGTATTTTTGTGATAACAAATATTGGAGAGTTTGAGGACCAGGATGTAAATAAATCTTATGTGTATACTCTATGATCAGATCAGTTAATCGATGCCTAGCTGGGAGTAATATAGGGTGTTTTTTATCGTACGCTAACTTAGCATTTTTTAAACGACCTCCCACACGGGAGACATTAAGATCCAAAAAAATCCTGAACGGTTTAGAAAGCTGCCTATTTGATCTTAAAGCAGAAATTTCTTCGGCAAAGCACTGATGACCAATCTGATAAGAACCAAAAGTGCATCTTCTAATTCGAATAGAGAAAAATTGTGGGTTTTTCGATTTTCATTATTTTGACAATTAAAAATAAATCTAAGTACATAACACATTTAAAAATCTATCAAGGTCAGATATTTCAGTAAAAAGTACCAATGTAGTTTTGCGTCGTTCTTTCGTAAAGTTCAAAGTTGCTCTGTGGCCAAGATGTGGAGGGTTCACTTAGCCATTGGGGCCCCGCCCGCCATAGAGTATTATTTAATAAATCCAGAGGCAAGAGGCCTCGCGAGCCAGGGTCCGCGGCATTATCCTGGGAAACTATGTGGTGCCAATTAAAGGGGGGTATTCTTTCTCTGATATAAGCAACTCTATTTGAGACAAAAGTATTCCACTTACGTGAATCACCCTTTATCCAACATAACTCAATAGTACTATCTGTCTAGGTGAATATTTTAGAGATATAGAATTTATCTTTATAAGTTTCCTGTACAAAAGAGAGTACCGAGCTTAATAAAACCGCACTACATAACTCTAGGCGAGGAATAGATAAACTCTTTAAAGGAGCAATGCGAGATTTTGCAATTATAAAATGCGTCTTTATAGAGCAGTCCTTACTAAGAACTCTAAGATAAACTACATCACAATATGCACTTTGACTAGAATCACACATTCCATGTAATTCATCTGAGAGAAAATGATCTAAATTAATGATTTGACGAGGAAATATTATCTCAGACAAACAATGAAGTTGGGAACTGATTTTATGCCACGATTCTTGAATATGTGAGTGTACTTGAGAGTCCCAATCTACAGCACTAGCCCAACAGTGTTGAATTAGGACCTTTAATGTAACTGTTAAAGGTACTAAAAAACCTAAAGTGTCATAAATACGTGCGAGTTATGACAACATATTTCTCTTAGTACAAGGCAACCTTCTTATTCCGACTTTAAAGGTAAAATGGTCCGATTTAAAATAAAAATACTGTGAATACTTTCGATTTCATATTTCATAGTATCAAACGCAATCAAAATTTCCTTTTGAGTAGTTAACTCGTCAGCACTATCTAAACTGGCGTAAATAATAACTATGTAATTATGAATTTTCATAAAACTTTCATACGTAGGCTCTATACTTTTAAAACGAGCCTGAAATGTTTTCTGTTGCTTGACATCAATAGCTGCACCCCTTGCCAACAGATGCAACTGTTCCATTTTAGTGATTTCGATATCGCGTTGAGCTAAATAGAGTTAAATTTTTTTTGGATCGGCCAT